GAAACAGACAGATAGATCGAGAAACAGATAAGAACCAGCAGAGAGAGAGAGAGAGAGAGAGAGAGAGAGAGAGAGAGAGAGAGAGAGAGAGAGAGAGAGAGAGTTTGGCTATAGGATTTACTGGAAATTAAAGGACAGAAAGGGACAGCAGGAGAATTGGATAAGGACCCGGTAGGGATTTTCGAGCATCTCGAGCATCTCCCATAGGCCTAGAGTGTGTTAGCTAGTAGGTAAAGAAATGATGGTACCATCAGTTATCAATCTCCATACAGTACTGCAGTGGTAGCTTGCAATCTGCAATGATGTTGCCCTAGGGGCACTACGGCCTGGTCCACGCAGCAGCCCCCAAGCAAGCAAGCAGGCGAAGAGACAGAGAGACTGAGTGAGCGACCGACCGGCACAAAAACAAATAAGTAGACAAAAAACAAAGAAACAGACAGATAGATAGACAAACAGATAAGACCGGGAAGTCAGGCACAGAGAGAGAGAGAGAGAGAGAGAGAGAGAGTGTGTGTTTGGCTAGAGGATTTACTGGAAATTGAAGGACAGCAAGGGACAGCAGGGGAATTGGATAAGGACCCGATAGGGATTTTCGAGCATCTCCCGAAGGCCTAGAGTGTGTTAGCTAGTAGATAAAGAAATGATGGTATGGTCAGTTATCAATCTCCATACAGTACTGCAGTGGTAGCTTACAATCTGCAATGATGTTGCCCTACGGCCACTAGTCCAAGCAGCAGCCAAGTGAGGTGAAGAAACTGGGAACTAGTAGGCCTAGGGGGACTTTGGTCCAAGCCTCCAAGCAGCCAAGTGAGGTGGAGAAAAGCCAGGTAAACCATATAGCATTCAGGTCCATTGTTGAACATTCGCCTGGCAATTCCCCTGCTGCTCCACCCAGAGTGGCGGAGCACGAGGTAATGGCGAGGAAGCAAGAGGGTGATGAAGAAGACCTTGATAGATATGGGGGAGTGATGTGGAGAGGAGGGGGAATAGTCTCTCGCTAGGGAGGGAGGAAGACAGGAAGAAGGAGCCCAGATTTGGGCTATGGAGTCAACAGGGAGGCTTTACTAGAAGAAAAGGAGGAAGGAGGAGGGAACCAACAGGAAGACTTACCTTCGGTGATGGTGGGCCTTCATCTTCACTTTCTTGGATGGCACTGCTTCAAGAAGGCCCGGTTAGGACACCCGGTTGGACATGGACATCATCCGTGAGTGAGGCAAGGCAGTAGATGTCAAAAGCAGTAGTGGTGTTGTCTCTGCATACCCAGGTGATGACTGGGATAGTCTGCCATATCCAGTGGTGCTACAGGGATGGTGAGAAGAGACAGGGAGTGCTAAAGGAGAGTTCTTTCTGCTCTGACAGTGAAGGAGATCGTTTGTACATCAATCTTGCATACACTCATTATCAGTAACTTATATCGATTAACTAATAGGAGGAGGAGATTGTATGAGGAATGATGACGAAGGCGAGTTGAGGAGGGAGATGACATTGGTTCATTCATCTTGTACTTCTTTCTCCTCCTCATTCTTCACTCTCCTTTATCTCATTCCACTTTTCTTCAGCTGCGATGAATGGCATTGTCTCAAAGTTGAGTTTTGCATCATGAATTGAACAGGATAATAGCACCATTCGGGATTATCGCACAAACCTCAGTAATTGCATAAACGCAACACCAGTGGCAACAGAGGTGACGAGAGAAAAGAAAAAAGAGCAACCAAAATTGTTATAAACCAACAGTACTTCGACAATAAATTTGAATAAAATGACCAGTAGCCTATGCGTGACCAGACTGACTCCATGACAATGACAATGTGTGCAATCAGAAAGCCCCCAAGTGCCTACCTCAACTCAAAATCAGCACGCAACATAGAGCGCATGCGTGGTCGAACAGTCACATGCAAATGAATGAAGAAGAAATCGCTCAACCACCATTTCAACGTCGCCAAACAAGAAAGTCAGCATCCATCACCAAGTATTGTGTAGCGACCTCTAAACCTTAACCACCAAGGTTCCGATGACGCATAGCCAGTCCTCGTTAGCATGACCTTCAGCACAGGAATACGCATTCACTCCATAGGACGCTTATTCGCTCCAAGGAACAGAGGGAGGGTCACACAGAGGCTTCTGTAGCATGTGCGTACGTAATATATTGTCACATACCTATCCACTAAAAGAGCGCACTTTCCAAAACAAATGGCAAAAACATTTAAGCCCGTAGCATGTGTACGTAATACATTCTCACATATCTATCCACTAAAAGAGCGCACTTTGCAAGACAAATGACAAAACATACAAGACAACCATGAAGAGCATACTGGAACTGTTCTTTTGCCTCGCCTATGCACTTCTTTCCTTACTGTTGCATCCTTGATTACTTCTTTCTGTAGCTTCCCCTTTGCTGTGCCTCTCACATCACATGTTGATCAAGTTCAGTGCGAGCTGCCTGCATCCGTGTCCCCCATAATGGCCCACTTGTATGCTGAAAAAGAGGCAGAGTAAAGGAAGAGGGGTTGAACAGAGAGGAAAGATGGAAAAGAGGACAAAGCCAAGGAAGACAACGGGAAAGAAAGGGAAAGTAAGGAGTACACAGGAAGTCAACAGGGCAGATGCTCTCCACAATAAAGTGGAACGAGTGCAGCACAGCTAAACTTTGCTATAGAAAACAAAAGCAGAGGGAAGATCAGCCATATTTCCGCAGTGGGTAACAGTACAGACGTGGGCTTACATTCAGGAGCATGGCTTTCATTGATGAACTGCTCTTTGCCTCTAGACTCTGCACTGGATTGCAGGCCAAACACACCAGCGCCCATCTGACTGTTTGAGCCTTTTCCTGCTCCTTCAGATTCACCAAGCTCCATGTTGTGTACGGCATCCTCCACCAGCTGCTTTTTGGAATTTTGCTCGATGGCAGTTCCAACATGGAGCAAGCCAAGGTCCACAATCTGTTGTTGCAACATATGACAAAGACCGAACAGGTAATGCAGAATGCAAGATCAGCTCAACACGGCTTGCTGTTGTAAATAGTAAAGCAGACTTCTGTGTATTGTCCTACCACCGTCCCACAAACAGGAGGAACAGTCCTTACAGCTATATTTCAGGTAACTTTCAGTCTAGATACCGTGCGATATATTTGGGATGGATTGGTCAAGTGGAACACTGTCAATGATGCAAAAGCAATGAAAACTACAAATTTTTTTTTTTTTTTTTTTTTTTTTTTTTTTTTTTTTTTTTTTTTTTTTTTNTTTTTTTTTTAAATGAGACGATGCTCCAATCTATTCGTGGGGAGCAACACGGCTGGGAACCGGGCCCATCGTCCCTTATCAGAATACAAGGATGAGCTACCGGGGCCATTACCCGGCTTCGGCTAAGAACAATTGAAGAAAAAGAAAAATCAGAAACATTCAGAAATTGTGTCAACAAGCCTCCCAACCACGAATCAGATAGGTGAAACCTATTCAATCCACCTTCGACCACCACCAGCATGGCCGTTTTCAGCACGAACCGAAGCTCTTCCAGGCCTCATGCTCCCATCAGGCTAGGTTACAGAGTTGCACCACCTTGCTCCAGCACCGGCCAGATTTGCTTCAGTTACGACCCCCGATGACCACTGAGACTGCCCCCGCAAACAGCCCCCCAGATCTCTCTACCAGGCCTCATGCCCCCACTAAGCTAGGTCACAGAGTTGTGCCACCTGGCTCCGGCTCCGGCCATCGTTGCTCCAGCATCGGTCTTCAAGGGCCACCGAATTTTCGACCACCTTACGCAAGATCAAAGATGAGTTGCCAGATATCACCTATTCCCACAACCTCCTCGAGAGGCGAACAAGAAATTACTGGACTGGAAGATTAGAAATCTTCAAAAGAACATCACCCCTCCCTCCCCCTACCCCCTCAGCCCTACAATGCCCCCGCTGAGCCGAGCGTCCCGCTCTCCCTCGGCCCCAATATAGGACCAACCCCCTCCACCCCTGTCCCCGATGACACGCAGTTCCCTTCTAAAACATGCCCTCGCCGCCCCTTGCCCGTTTCTGCCTCCACTGAGGACGATGTTGACCCCTCCCACCACCCCAGCCCCAGAAACAGGACAAACCCCCAACTCCGCTTCTACCCTCTTCGAGGCATTCACCCCCTTCCTTGTGAATCCCCTGCAGGATAGTGCTCGCTATCCACCCCACTCTCCCAATTCTACCCTTCTAAAATAATCGATCCAGCCCAGGAATAAACTCGGAATTTTCTTCTGAAAAGGACCCGTTGAAAAGGGCCCAGGGCAGCAGTAAAGATTATTACAATTATTCGTTTTCCCCTTCCGCCCAATGAACAGACGACTACTCCCACCAATTTAGATAACAGAAAGTAATTATCGGAAAAATTATCAGGATTTAAGCTATGATAGTAAAATAAAAAAAAAACTCAGGATTTATTAAAGAGTATAGTCAAGGAACAAAATTACGTAATTATCATGATGATTCCTGCAAATATGCTAACGATTCAGAACAGATGATGTTAAAGTGAAACTAAATGATGTCAATGATGATGAATCTGATAGTGATGTTGATGATGATGATAATGATGATATTGGTAATGATGATGATGCTGATAAGATGATGATGATAATGGTAGTGATCATTAAGATGATAATGACTATGATGATGATTGCGCCCATCACCCTGCGCTAACTCAAGATGCTGCTAGTGCTGATGACCGGATGATGATGATGGTGATGATACTAAAAGGGGCGAGCAGCGCCGATGATGAAATTTTAACGATGAGTGTCGCGCAGCCCTCCTAAACATGGTGTTAAAGTTGAAACCTACCCTGTTGATGCTGATAAAGACGATGAAGATGACGAATAACTCCCTGATGATGATGCCTGTCGTTGTAGCCCGTTGCTGCAGATAAACGATCTCTCCCCGTTGCTTGATACTGCCGCTTGTATGTCGCGAAGACGAAGACAGTCTCAAACACTCCACTCCTTATCCCCCTCCACTCCTCCTCCCATCTCGTGGGGGACACAGCGCTCCTCTCCCTCTTGCTCCTGGCCGACCTCCTCCACCAAGTTGTGCAAGAAGAAGAGCACAAATGATTCCTCCCGATGCAAGACCCAGTAGAGAGCCTTACCCCGCCTCACACGGCATGCTAACCCGCAGCATCCCCGTGAGAGGCACCAGACAGTGAGATGGCACTACAAGTGCTTTCAAGTGTTAGGAGATAGAGAGTACGTCCTACAGCAGCAGTAACAGCGCTGACTCTCTGCATCGTTGAGCACCTATCATAGCCACCCTCTATGCCCAGCGGCGCCCAACATCGCCGCGCGTTACCGCTCAACATCTGCCCGCTACTCCATCTCTCATCGGCGAGGTCGTGACGGCGGGGCGCAGCGCCCCCGGACGCGCTGCGCCCTCATAGATCAATCTGCAGAACCTACTGGCAAACAAAGAGGGACTGGAGCTGATATCGCGCCATCACAGACAGCAGTCGGGAGAGGACAGGAACACAACCAACTGCATTTAAGTCAAAGGAGAACTGTCAATCCCCTCAGTACACTTTTGCATAACCCTTGTGCTTCTCTCCTTCTCATGGCAGATGAGCACCGAAGAGCTAGGGTTTGAGGGACAAGGGGTAGCAGGGGCAAGGGGAGCAACGGGGAGGGGGGGCAAGGGGGGCAAGGAGGGCAACAGGGTAGCGGAAACTTTTGGGGGGGGGAGGGGAGGGGACCGAAGGGATGGATTGCTTGAATTTTAAGGTTGAGGTGGTAAGGGATGCTGGGGTGACTGATGCCTCAGCAAAGCGCAGCTGAATGCTGTTGGGAGGAAGTTGACAAGTTAAAAGGATTGTGTTCGAAAGATGTTGGCAGCTCCTCAGGCTCAGCAGCATGCCTGGGAGGTGCACATTGCTTCATGGTGTTCTGAAGCGTGACAAGGGAGCAGCACCAACCAAAACTCTCACGATGAATCCACACTGTTCTATCCCCACTGTAAGCAAGTAATTCTGTAATATGTAATCACAGTTTGACAATTAGCATGGGCATTTCACCTGCATAATTTTGTCCGTCCTCCAGAAATCGGAATGATTTACTTGCCAGTTTGTTATATTAAACCACCGGTACCCTGCCCGCTTGTGTTTTCTGCACCTCCTTAAACCAGCACTCCCCCCACCGTCCAAAATTCGGGGGGCGCGGTAGGACAGGTTCATGAGGACTACCGGTAGCCCCATGGGAAGAACTGGCCGAGTGGCAAAAATGACAAATGCGTCAAGTTGCCGCCGCAATTTATTTCATGGTTGAAACATTTTTTTATATTTGTTTTTGTCACTTTGTGATATTTTTGCTGGACAGATACGGCCAAATCTACAGACCCTCCAATTTTCAGAGCTTCCCTATACTCTTAAGAGTTACAAAGGGCGCAGTGACACACGCGACCGTGGGCCCATGAGAAATCGTGGAAGGGGGCCACAGCACCTGGGAGGAAATTGAGAGGGACCCACGGGTCGCAAGGGAACCGTGAGCCGCATGGGGAAAGCAGCACGTGGGCGCAGAAAGCAAGCGGCGCACAAACCACATGCCGGCAAAGCGGAGCAGGGGGCCACGCGGGGAAACCGGCAGCTGGGCAGGACGCGAAAAGAAACGCAGCACGAAAAGAGTGGACCAGTGCATGGCATCAGCAGATTGGTGGTGAGGCGGGTGAGATCGGGAGATCGGTGGACAGACAGGTCGGCATACGTGCAGAGGTGACATTGGCAAATCAGCAGAGAGGTAAGCCTGCATGCGTGTGCCGTCACCCGTCTCTCTCTCTCTCTCTCTCTCTCTCTCTCTCTCTCTCTCTCTCTCTCTCTCTCTCTCTCTCTCTCTCCATACGGTTATTGCGCGCTCTTCTCAGGGGCGAACCAGCATGCTGTCATCGGCAGATCAGCAGAGAGGCAAGCCTGCGTGCGTGTGCCATCGCCTCTCTCTCTCTCTCTCTCTCTCTCTCTCTCTCTCTCTCTCTCTCTCTCTCTCTCTC